GTTTTGGCTGGGTTTGTTGAAGAAGACTGTAGCCATGTGGAATTATTGTCGTACCTTCTTGGGTATTTATTGATTTTATTTTTGATCTCATGGAATGGGGTGTAGGGATGCAGCTTTCGTTGATCAAGGCACCATGATCCAGGTATACTTTGGTGAAAGTCTGACTTTGCCTGTAGTTTGAGGCCATTCCTAACATTTAAAATTTATATTGCTTTGAAAAAAAGTAATTGATTTGCTCAGCTATGTCCAGGGGGACTTGTGTCTCACCCCCAGTTCCCCTTTTTTTACATAATTGTATGACCCTCTACAAGACGCTTCGTCCTATTGTGTGGATCTCTGACCTAAACAGGAGTGCTTGAAGCTATATACAGATGTGTTCAAGTGCTGCAATCCCAAGTCTATAACTTCCTGAGTGAGGCAAGCCAGGGCAAGAGTTTCTTGAGTAATCTGAATTGATAGTCACTTCTCTCTCACTTTTCTTTTTGTCCATAGTTTCACTCAAGTTTGTGTGTGACAACGGCGACCTGGGTTTGAATTCCACCCTTTCTTTCTGAAAGAAAAATTGCTTCATTGGGCCCCTGATTCTTGCAAAATTCCAATACCTGTGGTTACGAGTGACCAAATGGGGTCCTAGCCCACTTGTAAGGGCAAAGGTTAAACTGTTTTCTACAGTACATGTATAGACATGCAAGGTAATAAGACCAAATCCAAATAAATAGTGTGTGATGATAAAGCACAATTTGGATTATAGATTATAGATGCAAGAAAATAAGACCTAATCCAAATAATTTTATATTATTGTGTGTAAATGGTGTGTGACATTTCAGTAACAATGCTGTTACAGAACCATCACACACTATATCACACACTGTAGAAGGGCGGTAAATCCCGAAATCTTGAGATTGTACTAATCTATAATCCAGATTGCACCATATCATACAGGTATAGACATGTGATGCAGTTACAGTAAAAGTAGTGGTTAACTACCCACTATATTATTATCATGGCCTGTACCATGTTGTTGTTTCTTATCCCCTTGTGTAAAGATTACACGAATTCCATGAGTTCATGCTCCTCGAGCTGTTTTATGATGAGCAGCGACCTCTCCCAAAGCCTGTACCATGTGTACTAGGGATAACTAACATGTGTTGTGACAGAGGAGAAAGACTCCGTAGTCAGTGCCCACATAGACGAGGGGGTCATCACGGCAACTATCCGGGTACCGGAGGACACCTACATCATTGAGCCCATGTGGCGCCATCTACCTGACGATTTCTCCAACACCAGCATGATAATCTACAGAGCCTCTGACGTCAAGCATCCAGAGATTCACAGTGATGCTCCGTAAGTCTCGTCAAATGTATGTACTACATATCTATGTACTTTAAGTCTATAATTCAACACCGACCTTAGTTCAAATCTTCTTTTTTCTTATCTCCACACTTGGTGAAGTAGAATGCCTCTGCCTTTGTCATCAAGACTGAGAGCACTACTCAGTAGCAGGCCGACTTAGCTCCAAAAAAAAATGGCCACCTCTGACATGAGGAACAGACGCCATGTGCAAGCGCTCCTAACATAGAGTAAAAACGCTGCTCATCCTGTATCCCTGGATTAGGAGCCCTTACAGGGTACTATCAGTTCAAATGAAAGTTCTGATCCCTTGGGATGTGTGTTAAAGAGATTTGCATACAATGAAGTATGCAACTATTGTCTATGCAGGCCGAGGTTCTGCAGCTACATCAAGGAAGAGGGGAATGCCTCCCTGGAGGAAGAGCTGGAGGAAGAGCCGCCACCTGCGGAGCCGCGTTCCCGGCGCCAGGCCATGGACCCCTACAGCTGGGAGCCCGTACAGACCCGGTGCTCTCTGTTGCTGGTGGCGGACTACAAGTTCTACACCAACATGGGCGGCTCCAACTTCAAGGGCACCATCAACTTCCTGGTTAGTCTTCACAATACAGGTCTCTTCTTTCTTTGGTTGGTAAGACACAATTTGGATTATAGATTATAAACACAAGGTTATAAGACCAAATCCAAATACATACATATCTGTCGTTTACACACTATTTATTTGGATTTAGTCTTATTACCTTGTGTTTATAATCTATAACACACTATTTATTTATTTGGATTTGGTCTTAATCTTGTGTTTATTTCTTTGGTTCTATATATTAGTTTGAATGTAGGCAACTTTTTTGTTGTTTCTTATCTTCTTGTTTTGCAGCTTTCGTTGATCATGGCACCATGATTCATGCAAACTTTGGTGAAAGTCTGACTTTGACTGTAATTTGAGGCTGTTTCTAATATGGGAAGCAGGCACCTATGCTTCCTACTCTAACATGAGTACAGATGCAGCTCCTCTGTATCAGGCAACTTTGTAGAGTCTCTAATGGTTTGAAAAAAAATCTATTTTGATTCAGTATCATTACTTTCTTTCAATAAATTTTGATATACAGGCATGTGCACAGAATAGATTCCCAAAAACTGGAGAACATTTTTATCATTTATTAGTTTTCTTTCTTCCAATTTGTAGATGATAGTTATCAGAAGATGATCAAATCCAAGTGAACATTCTATTAATTTAATATAAGGCAATAAATCGCCATCTATACATAGGAAATGCAAAAATTAAAGCACGGATGTTTCTTTTGAACATAAAACAAACTTCTACTGTCCTTACTGTGATAAATAAAAAAATAAATAAATAAAAAATAAATAAATAAAAAAATAAATTAATTAATTAAATTAATAAAAAAAATAATAATTAAAAAATAAATAAATAAATAAAAGATAAATAAATTAATTAAATTAATAAAAAAAAATAATAATTAAAAAATAAATAAATAAATAATTATTGGGAGGACTCGGCTCATCAGTGGTGAACCCTCCCAGCAGTTTCACCAATTAAATCTACCAGACCACTTCTCTCAGAGCTCTAATACTGTATTGGACAATTCTGCTTATATATGCTACACTGAAGGGTGGAATCTCAGAAATGGACATAAGGACAGTAGAATTACATAGAGAAGAGCTAGATGACATCTCACTAAGTAAGAAGAAACAACACAATGTTTAATAAAGAGTGGTGCCTGGAAGAAACCTTTGAGGAAGTAGTCGAATATGTTTCTTATCCCCTTGTGCAAAGATTACACAAATTACAAGAACTCATGCTCCACGAGCTGTATGATAAGAAGCAGCAGCCTCTCCCAAAGGTCCTGTTTAGTGCATCTAATGCAAGCCATACTGTATGTGCCAAGCTACATTTTGGGCAAGAAGAGGAGAATATCAATCACACCCAGCCATATTACCAGATAAACCCACTGACCAATAGATCAACAGAATGGTAAGAAACCATCTAAAGAATTAAAAGAGAACTCTGGAGAAGAAGAAATCAATTTGCATCTTCCGTTAACATTCCAAGGTTTCCCTACAATTTTTCTGTTCCGTGACCCATGTTACCTTTGGTTAAATTAAGAGTGAATTATTGTTGTTGTTGTTTCTTATCCCCTTGTGTGAAGATTACACAAATTCCAAGAATGAATTGTGTTGATCAAATCTAACCTTTATTGAAAGACCATCTTCAGTACAGACCAGGATTATCAATGTTCTTTATTTTTTATTTGGGTGATTTCTCACGGAAGGTTCTCTGTTATATAAAAATACCTTAGAACGTAGCAAACACAAGGTAATAAGACCAAATCCAAATAAATAAATAAATAGTGTGTGATGTTTCAGTAACAGCTTTGTTACCTTCTTCAGACAAAAGTACTGAGAATGGTTACAACGTGGTTACCAAAATGTCACACTCTATTTATTTATTTGGATTTGGTCTTATTACCTTATGATTATAATATATATAATCCAAATTGTGCATTATCATCTTAGAATGTAATGGTGTGTACAGATTTCCCTGATAGACAGAGTCAACAAGATCTTCCTGGACACAGAGTGGAGGGACAGTGAGAGACAGCCCGGGTTCCGAGGGATGGGGTTTGTCATCCAGGAGGTGTCGGTGCACACGGCCTACAACCCCGTGGTGGGGGATGAGACCCACTACAACATGCCAGACGTCAACTGGAATGTCAGGGACCTCCTCGAGGTTTGTATCCTTCCCCTATTGTAACCTTCCAAACCTTTCAGCAACCCACACACTATTATGATGATGATTCAGGGGGTTGGTGGAAGGGGGTCTAAACTGTTGGTTTTCGGCCGCTACGTCCCAGGATCGAATTCCGCATTGGACACTTTTTTTTCGAATAAAAAAAAAATTCTCCAATGACCCCCGATTCTTGCAAAAGGCCAACCCCACCAGCGAGTGCAAGTAACCAAACGGGGCTCTAGGATATTTGTAAGTGCAAATTCAAACTGCTTTTCACATGTGTAGACATGTGGTGCACGTACAGTAAAAACAGTTGCCAGCTTCTACCTACCATGATTATCATGGCTGTACCATGGGTATTAGGGATAATAAACAACATGATGATGATTCTACATATTGATCATTAGAAGTATACTTGGGAATATAGGTCACTGTGGTGGTTTCATAATTGACCTCCACATTGTAACTACTAAATCTCTTTCCCTCATATCTACAAGAAGCTGTGTTCCCCCTTCTGTTGTTGTTTCTTATCCCCTTGAAAGATTACACGAATTCCATGAGTTCATGCTCCTCGAGCTGTTTTATGATAAACAGCAGTCTCTCCCAAAGGTCTTGTTTCCCCTTCTTGTCACTACTGGTAGTTAGTTCTGCTATCCAGATATTTATCAAATTCCCAGTCTAGATCTTCTGTGTCCTGATTCCTAATGCCATGCGTAGGAACTGGTCAACCCCACACATTTGTGGTCTTAGTAGAGCAGAGCCTAGTGGAATATCTTCTCGGACTATAATGGCATTCCCTAGATATGGTGAAGACCAATGGCAATCAACACCTGTCAAAGGTACGACTTCTACCACCATCTTCACTTAGTTACTATGATTAATACACCTGGAGGATCCCACCTAAGCACAGTTGGTACAGTGGAGTGAACCCAGGAGGAGCTCTGGACATCAGACAGCATCAAACAACACTAACAAGAGAAACCGTTTGGTTTTCGACCACTAGGACCCGGGTTCGATTCCCGCATTGGACACTTTTTTCTGTTTAAAAAACAAAGCTCCAATGGCCCCCAATTTCTTGCAAAAGTCCAACCCCACCAGCGACTGCAAGTAACCAAACGGGGCTCTGGCACATTTGTAAGTGCAAAGTCGAACTGCTTTTCACATGTGTAGACATGTGGTGCGCTTACAGTAAAAGCAGTCGCTAACTACCCACCATGATTATCATGGCCTGTACCACGTGTACTAGGGATAAGCAAAAAAAAAAAAAAAAACACTAACAAGATTTAGAACAGGCCATCTCAAGCCATTGAAGATAGAAAATAATAACAAAATCTACCCCACTTGTCCAAAATGTAGTTTGGTACCTGCAGCTCCAGAACACATTTTGGCTTGCGTTGGATGCACTAAACAGGACCTTTGGGAGAGGCCGCTGCTCATCATAAAACAGCTCGAGGAGCATGAACTCATGGAATTCGTGTAATCTTTACACAAGGGGATAAGAAACAACACTATGATTAACTTTTTGCTAGGGGTATTGATCTCTTACTTTCAAGATTATTAGGAACCCTATGTGATACCATTTATTTTCTAGGAAACCATATCATAGCATTGTTTGTCCTGCTGGCCGGCCAGCGAGTGGTGTGATGGTGGCAGGTGTTCAGCCGTAATCTGAACCACCGGTGGTTCTGTCTGGCCCACCTCTTCACAGACCAGAAGTTTGATGGAGGCATCCTTGGCTTGGCCTACGTTGGGTCTCCTCGTAGGAACTCTGTGGGCGGGATCTGCAGCCCTGGTGAGTACTTCATGCTATTGGATACTTCTGGTTTAGAATTTGTCCTAACCTGAGTTTATTATTGGGTGGCTTGGGAGGGATAACATTTACTTTCAACTATTGGTTTCCTTTATTACCTATAGCTCTATCTACTGGTGGCTTCCCTCATTGTGGACTCCACTCTTGGGAACCTTCTTCTCTTTACTCCTCTCTCATTGTTGACTCTACTCACTCTTCCATTGTTGACTCTACTCCTCTCCCATTGTTGGCTTCACCCATTATCACATTGATGACTCTACTCACTCTCCCATTGTTGGCTTCACCCTCTATCCCATTGTTGATTTCACCCTCTATCCCATTGTTGATTTCACCCATCTATCCCATTGTTGATTTCACCCTCCCTCTCATTGTTGACTTCACCCAACCCCATTGTTGATTTCACCCTCTATCCCATTGTTAATTTCACCCTCTATCCCATTGTTAATATTACCTACTCTTCCATTGTTAACTTTATCTACTCTCCCATTGTTGATTTCGCCCATTTTTCCATTGTTGACTTCACTCACCCTACCATTGTTGACTCAATCTCCCATTGTTGGTTCTACTCACTCTCCCATTGCTGATTTTAGTCACTTTCCCATTGTTGACTTCACCCACTCTCCCATTTTTGACTCTACTCACTCTCCAATTGTTGTTCTACTCACCCTTCCATTGTTGTTCTACTCACCCTTCCATTGTTGACTTCACCTACTCTTCCATTGTTGACATCACCCATTCTCCCATTGTTGATATCACCCACTCCCCCATTGCTGACTTCACCCATTGTTGACTGTGACCCACTGTGTCAGGGTATGTCAAGAATGGCTACACCCTCTACCTCAACTCCGGGCTGAGCACCAGCCGCAACCACTACGGCCAGAGGGTCATCACCAGGGAGGCAGACTTGGTGACAGCTCACGGTGAGGTGTCCTGTACTACTGCAGTGTCCCATGATGGCTGACCTCTCTGTGTCCATCCACCCTCTGTCTGCCTGGCCCTACAGAATTTGGTAAGTGGTAATTGCTTTCTTTGGCTAGGCTTTTTGATTATCATCTTTGCTATTGTCTTTATAATTATACTAGCGGACCCGCCCGGCTTCGCCCGGGTTTTACCCGAGTGAATGTTTTTCTAACGAACATTTGTTAAAACAATTCTCTTTAAACTTATAAAACGTACTCGGCTTCGCCCGGGGTTTTACCCGAGTAAAGGTTTGGCTAGCGAACATTTGTTAAAACAATTCTCTAATAACTTATTAAAAAATAAAAAATATATATTTTGATAATTTGAAACTCGTAAATTTGAATCTCTCGATAAAGTGAACATTTTTCCCCGGTCCCTGTGTGCCTTGTCATCCTGAATTTTGTCTTTCCTAATTTTCTACATTAGAAAATCAGTTTTATCTAGTAAACATTTTTTCCCGGTCCCTTGAGAAATACTCGATAAGTTGAATAAAATCAATATTAATTGGTTCCCTCTGTAATTGGAAGTTAAAGGAATAGTATCTTCGCCTTGGAATTGTATCATTATTCTTGTCGCAAATAAATTGCCGTGTCATCCTGAGATAATCTTACTTTTGATAAATAATATTTAAGATAACAAACTTAGTGATAAGAAAACTTGTTATCATCGTCACAATGGGGGCGCTGCTTGCGAGTTAAATCTACAAATCTGCAAGTAACTCTAAGGTTATTCAAGATATTCATGAAATTATTTTTCAAAAACCTTCCCGGTGATATACCTAATAATATCCGAAAATTTCACGCCGATTGGATGTATGGTTTTTGAATCTATAGAGTACAAACAAACAAACAGACAGACAGACATTCAATTTTATATATATAGATATATATATATATATTAACAGTAATTAAACGTAACAGTAAGAAAATGTTGATTTTAAAATATTTTAATTTTAAAATATTTTAATTTTTTCATATTTTAAATATGTAAATAGAGTCTCTTAAGAAAGACCACCTAAAAACATGAATCAACTTGTTTCTCCTGTTGGTGGTCTCTCATTGAAGATTCTAATTGCTATTAAAGAATCTCTAATAGACCTTTAATAAGAGACTGCCTCTTGGAGAGACGGTGTAGCTACGAAATGGATATTCCCGGCTTCGCCCGGATTTTACCCGAGTAAAGGTTTGTCTAACGAATCTCTCGATAAAGTGAACATTTTTTCCCGGTCCCTTGAAAAATACTCGATAAGTTGAATAAAATCATTATTAATTGGTTCCCTCCGTAATTGGAAGTTAAAGGAATAGTATCTTGCCTTGGAATTGTATCATTATTCTTGTCTCAAATAAATTGCCGTGTCATCCTGAATTTTGTCTTTCCTAATTTTCTACATTACAAAATCATCGTATCATCATGATAATATTTAGAGCAGATTGTTGAATTATAACAGATAAATTAGAATATTTATCTTGATTATATCTAGGCGAAAAGTTATTTCAAAAATTTTATTTGCTAGAAACCTTCCCAGTACTATACTAAATAACTTCCCAAAGTTTCATGGCGATCCAATGAGTGATTTGGTCAGGCATAAAGGACAAACAGACATACATTCATTTTTATATATATAGATATACATCTCTATCTATATAAAAGTCAATTTCTGTCTGTCTGTCTGTTTCACGATAAACTCAAAAACTACTGAACCAATTGGTACCAAATTTTGCATGTCGCTTTTTATAAACCCGAGGAAAATTTTCGGCTGCATTTTGATTAGTATTTTTGGCTATTTCTTTTTTTCATTTGAAGAATTTTTTTTTACGCGGACTAATCCGGAATGGAATGAATACCTAAATATGGCCATTTTTTTAAAGCATCGGTGGTTCAGTGGTAGAATGCTCGCCTGCCACGCGGGCGGCCAGGGTTCGATTCCCGGTCGATGCATTTTTTTTTAACAATTTTTAAAACTCATTTATATTATATCTTCTATATATATAAAAATGAATGTTTGTATGTTTGTTGGTTTGTATGTCCGGTATACAAATTCGCAGTAGTTCACTAATTCAAACTAAAATTTCCATACATAGGTAAAAAAATACGGGGAAGACGATAGGCTATTTTAAAAAATATATAAATCAATTATTAAAACTATATATTATTAGTCAGAAAATGATGATGACGATATTGCTGTATCATGTAAGATTATCAGATACAAAATTATATCGGGAAAAATTCCAAAAAGCAGAGACCACGGGTGAAACAAGCTCATTATTTTGTATGCAGGAACAAATTTCTAACAGAAAAACATTCATTTGAGCAGAAAACAAAAGCCAGATCATCTTTCTATAAAAATATTGCTTCTCAGACACAAAGTTTGGAGCGGGACGTTTCACAAGAGTGACATCCACGCCGCCAATTTATAATTGTAACGAATAGTATTTAAATAAAAACATTTAATCGGGTAAAACACGGGCATTGCCCGGGTCTTTCGGCTAGTATATACATACAAATTGATTTCTCTGGGTTTCTATCAGCTTGGGTATCATATCATCATTGTTCTCATCATCATCATAAAGACGCCATCTTCTATATGGTAGTCAGCCATCATTCATAGTTAATTCCCACAATATATACTCCCAAACTTACTATTTTTCAAAAATTTCCATTATGTAAGAACATGAACTTATTTATAATCAGTTTGGGAAAAACGGTGGTTGAGATTTGAATAATCAATTGTATTATAAAGTGTTGAATAATAGTTGTTGAATTAAAGATGGGAAATGGTTGGGATTTGAATAATTGATTGTATTTAACCCTTAACTGGATGGGTGTATTTTTCTTACGTAACTGGACGGGTTGGGTAGATTCAACCCACCTATGTAACTTTATGAAATAAGCGTTAAATAATGATTGAAATCAATATTTAAAAAAATATTTAATTAATATATAGTTAATATACAGATTTTGACTTTTAAAAATTCTGAATATAATCTATTTACAGTTTTCAAAAATTATAAAGAAATGTTATTGCAAACGCTTAGTTGACATACAGAGCAAAGGGTTTTTATTTTTTACTGCGCTTTTTGATGGACATTTGTAGCACCTTTTTGGAGTACCAGATTGTTGTGGCATTGTAGATTCCCTTGGTGTACGTGAACCATCATTCTTCTTGAATTGTCATCTGTAATTGCTGTGGGAGAGAATTGAGATTACGTGTGGCCAGGTGTTCATCAGTCAATGCTCTCCCAAGATCAACAATAAAATGAC